TCAGCCGCGGCTCGGTCTCTTGCAGGGCGCTGTCGAGGGGCCGCTGTTCATCAACGTCTGCAGCTGGAAAAGGGTCCCGGCGCCCAAGGGCCCCAGCGAGCCCACACCTGTCAGCGCGGGGCCGCTAGAGGAAGCATCTGGCGAAGGAGGTACGTCCCGAAAGAGCTGCGCCTTGGCCCGGCCGCGTTTCGTCTCGCAGCAGAGCGCTGTACCTCAACCGCATGCATCTTCTCGCTGCAGCAGAGCGTAGTGATGTGCCGTGGCCAGCTTGTAGCTCAGGGCAGGAGTAGCAAGGCAAGGACGCAACAGGTGTATCTCAACGGGGACTCTAAATGAATCCTTTTTGAAAAAAAAAAAATGAAGAAGCACAAAAATTGCACACCTCTAAACCCTGAAAAGTATTTGGCACTAGCGGAGTCTCTTTGGCCATATATACTCACGTTGACTTGGATCGTATTCCCATGCTTCTCCTTAAACACACAGACAGCAGGATCATGGAGAGACATCGTCTCTAGATGAGGTTGATAGAATTAGCGCTCTGCCCAGAAGCCACAAATGCATTTCCTTTGCTTTTAAATCAAGTGATTATAAAGAACACCAGCATATGGTACCATAGCAACAATTCTGACACATAACTCATTTTTATAGACCTTTACAGCATTATAGATATTGCATATAACCCAGATGTTCTTCAGAGGGGAGAAGAAAACCCAGAAAAAATGGAACACTTGATCCATTTGACACTTAAATTCATTGAGGAACGATGCAACCTTGTTCTTTCTTATTTGTACACCATCGAATCATTCAAATTGAAAGGAAGCCTGGAAACGATGCAGCAACGTCTGAAAGGAAGGCAGAAGCCAACTCCACATCTCAGTCAGAACACAAAGAAGGGTATGTAGAGATGTGCTGTAACTTTTACTGCATTCATCTCTGGTGTTTTACAATTGAGAAACTTTAGTGACACTTGAACAGCAAATTTCCCTTTTTCCTATATCCACTAAACATGGGAGCTCTGCTAGGGTTTGATTCATTGAGATGCTAAGTTTCTTTTGCTCTAATCTGAGTAAAAAAGGTTGCTGCTATAACTAGCATTCTGAAAACAACTTTTAACCCCTTGGCAATAAAACCAATTCATGGGTGAAAGAGAAACTGATAGTAACAGCCTTCAGCTGACAAAATTGCTCATTATAATTAATTAGTTAAAATTTTCATGATATATTTGTCAAGTGGCTTAACATTAACATTTCTTAGTAACTGAGTGATATGTGTCAAAAACTTGTTTTTCTTGAAAGAACTGACACTTGATCAGCTGCTACACAGTATAGAAGCTGACAGCTGCAGCAATGTTCCTGCGATGCTGAAGGAAGAAAAAAGCATGACACAGTCTAAAGTGCTTCTGATAGAGGAAATTACCAGTACTGAAATGCTAGAGAAGCCAAGTACCCCTGTCTACAAAATGATCACCATGAAAGATGCAAACAAGAAACCACTCAAAATTGAACTTAAAATTGAATTGCCTAAGGTTAGCTCTGTTTCTGAGTGTGATCTGAGAATTTCAAAGGTAAGACAGCAGAAAGAATAACCTTGTGTTTTCTGCCTAGTATCCAATTCCTAGAAATGCTCACTGCTAATTCGTTGTCAAATAATTGATGAAATATTTTAATTTTCTTGGTTTAGGATGACATAATCATTGAAGTCCCTGAAAAATACAAGCTACAACTAGATCTGCCAGAATTGGTGGATGAAGAAACAACTACAGCAGTATTTAACAAAGGGAAACGGGTGTTGTCTGTCACAATGGCAGTTGCCAAGCCAGATCCTTAAAGACTGCATTCTGTCCAGTTCATGTTCACAGATGACAGAACAAAAGCCCAGAATGAGAATCCTAACTTTTAGATGGTGATGAGTTTGGGTGTTTTTTTTTATTTACCTTCTAATCTTCAGAAGTGAATACCTCAAATGCCTGTAGAAGATGCATGCAGAAAAGGAAGTCTGAAGGAATACTAACACCACCAAAATTAAGAAAAAGTTAAGATTGTAAATATTCAAGGAGTACTTGAATGTTAACAGCTGTAGTAAAGAACCATAAATGCATACGTTTTACTACGATTCATTGTGCTTTAAGAGACAGCAATAACAGTTGTGAAGTTTTTTAGCTAAATAAATTGATTACTGGATTCACATGGTTAGAGCAGCTCTTACGTATTTAACGCTGTTAACACCCAGCAGAGGTGTATCATTCACAGTTGTACAAGGTCCCCTGCATGCTGTTGCTGTTCTCTTCAGGACAATCCCTGCTGATCTTAACTCAAGTAGGCCTTGTTGTCTTTTCAGTCACTGAATATGCTTGACCTCACTTCTTACCAGTTTGGTAATCTCTCACTGAGACCATGAAAAAACAGACCTGTTCTGTACTATTCAAAACAGCATAGAGAGATCCAAAGCTCCGTAACACTCAGTGTGAGGCTAACAACCAAAACCAATCCTGGAGCACTGCAACTAGGAAAATTATCTGCATTAGTTTACACTAATACAAAATTATAAAGTAATACAAAGTAACACGAAACAACTTCAAGGATTACGAAGCATTACTAGAATTAATCGGCAAAGGGACAAACAAAAGTTTAAGTCATCTCAGTTTCATGATTGATTTAGTAGCGTGTCATTCTTACAGCTCCTATGACACATTTACACTACAACCATGTTTCTGTACTGATGTTCATCAGATCAGAAATAGAAACAGACAAATTGGTTTTCAGCTGCAACTTTAAAATACAGGCTTACAAAAGAGAAGTAACACCTAGTTTTCCGCCTTCTTTGTTGCAAAGCAAACTTAGAATGCTGCACTGAAATACTGTTCAGTGGTTATAGTTGCAAGTTCAAGCTGAAATTCTATCACTGCATGAGCTGAGCTGGCCCCTTGCAGGATGCAAGCAGTACCAGAAGTCACTATCAGCACTCCAAGCACATGCACTGGATATGATTTTTTTTGAGTTGCAAGTGTTGCAGAGTCTGGCAGTCATTCAGAGAACCTTTCCATAGGATAATCTATTTAGGGTTCTTACTGCAGGAAGAAAGTAAAAGGTCTCTAGCCAGAATTTGAGGTTCTGGTGAACGTTGCAGCAAGGAAGCCAGGAAGGTTGAAGTTCACTGCTGCATGATGCTAGTAAAGCACGTATTATTTTGGAATATTTGTGATTACACTTTAAGGTTAATAGGGTGACTTTCACTATCAGACTGAAAGGCTAAACAGCTCTATAGCAGTACAGTAAGCCACGCACAACTGAATGGAAAAGGACATGTTTTAGTAGTTGTCAATTTCAAACATTTAATAGAACATAGGTTCACTAGAGCAAGTCTGGAACCAAGGCATTTTAGATCATTAAAGAAAAAAACCAAAACCTTAATGCACTTTTTTGCTTAAGCCAGGCATGAAAACCAGTTACCACAACAACCAGACATTAAATAGTTCCCACAAAAATATTTAATTTCCACAGCGTTTTCTTTCAATATCTTCAGTAAATTTTGTAGAACTTTAGAGGAGACAGTACTTAATGCAATATACAGAATAACATTGGTTTTCACTTTTTTTTTTTAAAAAAAACTTCTCTCTAATTCTCCTGGTCACTTTGTAATTACTACATAGTCGTCCTTTTTACATTAACATTTCCATGTGGAAAGTGGAATTTAAGAATGTTCAGCACTGCACCCCTTTCAGGATACAATGACTGGGGTAACTGGACACAAGTCCAATGAACTATTGAAGCATTTTACATACAATATATACATGGACAGCACATTCTGCAGCTTACTGAGGCTGGGACAACATAGACAATTCAGGAAAGGACCACAGTACCAGTGACTTAACTCAGAGCTTCCTATGTTAGAATGCCTGAAAAAAAAATAATTTCCAAACATTCGAGTCATCACGTGATTAAATATCCACTGATGGGATTATTAACTCGTGTGATTTGCCTATATTGGGTTCCAACACACAGATTCTCTTGAACATTCTGCAAAACAGTTACTTCCATGGCATCATAATCTATTAACTTAGCAAGAGGAATAGGAAAGAGTTTTCATAAAAAAAGCACATGTAAGCGAAAGTCCACAAGAAGACAGCACGTTCTCTGTGGTATCTGAGAGCTGTGACCCCACAGATATCAGTGCTCTTTCACCTTACTTTAAAGTGCTCATCAAAAGGGATCGCATAGCTGAGAAGGTCTAGACGAGTGCTAAATTCCAAAAGATTTGGAATGCTAACACTTGGCCTTTAAGAAACTATTCCCATGTGTTTCAGTCCCTTAGTGCATCTCATACTCGCCCACCCCAGCAGAAGAACAGGATAATAAGGGAATTAATCTTCTACTAACTTGTACATTTCAGTTACCATCTCATCTGAACTGCTGTGAAGATACGTTTATAATTCAAATTTCTGAGAACACTGAGGTAATGAAATTGCTCGGTATGCACTCCCTTGTTCACACTAATTTAGAAGCAGATGGCAGTATGCATACTACCTGGATCATTTTTAAATCTGGGATGCTTAACTCTGTTTTGGAAGAGTTTGCAAGTTAGCTAACTGTATAAAAATACAGTGTTGCTGTAATATTGCTCTGAAAAGCACTTTTGCAAACTTTTTCTGTACAACTGGTAATAAGATTACCAGATAATATAATACATATTTAAAATAAAAAAGGAAGTCTTTTAATAAGTCTGAACACTGAAGTCTAAATAGCTTGTTTAAAACAAAACCGTGTGACCCAGGAAAATTTTGCTTGCATGGTTAAATTATAGTAGCATGGTTACTGGCTTTTCAAGGAAATTCTTGAATTCAGCAAGCCACTGTGCTCCAACTGCTCCATCTACAACACGATGATCACAGCTAAGTGTAACAGACATCACACTGGCCACATCAAATCTGAAAGAAAAAAAAAAAAAAAAAGGGTTAACACAACCATCTGCAAGTCAGTGCCACCAACAAAGCCCAAAAGCTTTTATCAGAGAACCTGCAAGAGCAGTTGGTGCTTGGCAACAGATGTTTATCCCCGGGGGCTTCTGAAAAAGATTACCTTAGAGAGCAGATGATGTTCATTCCTTTTCTACAATTAAGAAACACATTTGTGTGTTCCCTCATCTTTCTTCATATCACAAGAACAGCCCCACATGATGAAAGCAAAAGAGCTATTTTACCCAGTAACCTCCAGATTTCCCATGTGTCAGTGACAGATATCTAGGATTGTTAACAAGCTTAAATAATCCTAAATGTTCTCCTGGGTCTATGCTAGTTCCAGCTCCAAGCAAGGTGATACTATATACAGGACATTTGAATTATAATCCATCCCTTAGGTTTTCCTTAAATGGAAATTTAAGCAAGATGTTAAAGAGGAACAGGTGCCTGAACTATTGTAGATCCCAGACTCTTTCCCACATCCCTCCAAGAAAGAAACAGCCTTTCCTTAACTTGCAAAGAAGTTGCAAGAATAAATATATGGCAGATCATTCATCAGTCGCTGTATTTCTCTAACGCCTTTGTGATCCTTTTACACAAGATCTCACTGTAGTACTTCAAAAGGTACTGAAAGCAGTATGTCAACAACTAGTTTTTATTTTTTTAAATTATAATCTAATGGTAGTGTTAAAAAACCAGTCATTATTTCAAAGTCTGAATTCAGAAGCTCAGTATACACAGACTCAGACGAATACTTACCCTTTCTCATTATCAGCTGGCACTAGCCTTTTCTCCGAGGAACCAACTGCAAGGATGCAGGCTTGAGGTGGATTGATTATGGCAGAGAAATTCTTAATCCCATACATTCCTAAATTGGAAATTGTGAAAGTACCACCCTACAAGAAAAACATGTTCATAGTCCAGTTCACAAAAGCTGTTTCACGTGGAATATTAATGACCATGGCTGAAACAATGATCACAAAAGAGGCTTTGCTCATTCAGAATAGGGCTTCTGGACAGAAGTCAAGGGCCACAATGTTTAACAGCAATCTGAGTTTCTCACCTGGAATTCATGAGGCTGAAGTTTACCTTCTCGGGCTTTAGTTGCCAAGGAAACCACATCCTTACTAATGGCAGCCAGGCCCTTTATATGTGCATTAAACACAATAGGGGTTATAAGCCCTGCAGGAGTACTAACTGCAACGCTAACATCCACTACATGATTTCTGCAAGACACAAAGGAGATGCCAGTTACTCTAGCAAGATAACAAAGAAAAAAAATTTCAGAACTGTTCAGACAACTCTAAATTAACGTTAATTTTGCAAGAATTATTTCACCTTGTGCACTAGCCTCAGACACAACGTTCTTAGCACTTGAACAAAAGCTCATCGACTTTTGCATTATACTTGTTCCCCTCCCCCCTCAAAATCCCAACAGAAGGTCTATTTTGCCATGAACTCTCTACTGAACAAAGAAAGTTTCTGGCTTCGACCGTACCATAAACTTACTGCCTAATAACTGTATCCATCCATGAAGAATTTGCCTCAGGCACCTTCAAGCATGCCAGAGCAGAAGCTTTAATTATGAAGTCATTGACAGAAAGCTTAATGTTATCCGAGGCCTCCTGAAAATAAAGAGATTTGAGGCATCAGTTTGTCTCTTACACATTAACTCGATTAACTTGGATAGTCACTGCCATGCAGCCTTGTTTAGAGAAAATGCTAGAAAACAATCACACCACTTGTGAGCATTAATATTTGAAGTGCCAAGATAATTTAGGAGGTAAATACATCTCCCTCATAATTTAAGAAGGTACAAACTTTTAAAATTGTTAACTGTTTTTCCCTAAACTTGGCTTAGAATTATTATTTTGCTTAAATTTTATACCTTTTTTACCTTTAAAAACCTTTTTACCCTTTTGCCCAACTTTCCAGCTGGAAGAACTGAATACCACCAAGCAGAGTACAAAGGAGCTCTCTTAGGGAAGTTAGGAATCAGTGCACAGTACCTGAGTAAGAAGTCTTCTTCTGTCACAGACAGTCCAAAACTGATCCACGACCGGTAGAAAAGGCACTGAAAATACTATTTTTTTCCAAGCCAAAATCACCAAAAAGTAGGGTGGGCAAACCTGTGAGAGAATGCAGCTTTCCACACACACACTCTCTCACCATACCCTAAATGCTTTACCTGATTGAGTTCCTTCCTTAGCACCAGTACTTCTCCCATGTTTACATCAATAGAAAGGTAGTAGTGAGGTATTGTTTGTTTAGACTGCATTAACCGCTGAGCAATGACCTGCAGGTATGCAATAGAAGCAATGAAAACAAATCAGTTTGGAAAATTCATGACTGCAAATAATCATCTCAGGAATAAAACCTTATTACCCTCCGAATGTTGCTGATAGGGATATCTGTGAAGGTCCCCACTGGTGCTGCTGCAACTGCAGCAGCTGCAGGAACTGCCTCTAGTGCTGGAGCCTGCAGTCAGAGAAAGATAGCATGATTCGCAGTACTATCCAAATATCAACTGTACAGAATAGTTCTGTATCTGGGACATGATTCACAGTACTATCCAAATATCAACTATACAGAATAGTTCTGTATCTGGGATAAGTGCTGAGGCTGTTGCCTCTTGCTTAAGAGCAGCAGATATTCCTACTCTCTAGTGTCACCTCTCCAGTACTCAACCAGGTTCTTTATAAGCCCTATATTCAATTATTGAATGTAGTACTTGAGTGATTTAGAAATGGAACACTGATATGTGTTAATCTTTACAACCTAACAGTCACCATAGCTCACACAGCATCATAACCAAACAAATCCAGCAATAACAGTTCCATATAACAACTGCATTTCTACAGAGCCTTTCCATGACTACAATAAAATATCCATTCTTACAGATCTCAAGCCTACTCACTGGAGCAACCTTTGGTGGCACAAATGACTCCACATCTTTCTTTGTGATTCTCCCATCTGGTCCAGTACCTAAAAGGGTCAAAAGAAAAACAAAAGAGGATTTCAATTATTTGCAACAGGGCATCGCTTCCAAAGGTACCAGTTTTATTCAACCAAGAGAAGTTGCTCAACGCAACCTCTGGTGAGGACAGCTGCATAGTCAAGATGTTCCTGACAGGGAGTAAAGGAAAGAATAGGCAAGTATGTACCTAGAAGGACACACACTCGACAGGAGAGCAAGGAAGGGGAAGGACCACCTACCTTTCACTTGGGCAAGGTCGATTCCTTTTTCTGCTGCCATTTTCTTTGCCAGGGGACTAACCACGATCCTTCCTTTCCGGGGAGGTGGCCCAGATGTGGGGACTGCTGGAGTGGAAGGAACAGCAGGCTGGGGAGGAGGAGCAGCAGCAGGAGTTGCCACCACCTTTACAGAAGAATCAAAGCCATTAGCTTCAGCATCATTCATCAAAAGCTTTAAAGGGTATAGTAAAAGAACAGTACCATCTAATTACCAGTCAAGAGAACAGCAAAAATAGCCAATAATCTGAAAAGTTTTCAGATTCAGAGAAGTTTCCCAGTGCCAGAAATTAAATCAGGAACTTTCTGGAAAAGAGGCCAACTAAGCTGCTGAACTATACACCAAAAAAAGGTGAAATAAATAACTTATGCTCCCAGTTTTCAAGGATGAGGCATTAGAACTGGCACAAGCAACAGGCTGGAGAAGAGAATCATAACGAATAACTATCTGCTCCAGTTTTTGGAGAGCAAATTAGCAATCGCTTCTTACATCACTTATCATCAACACAAGTGTTGGCCTTGCATTCACAGAATCATAAACATCATTGTGAGAGCCAGGGCTTCACACTGTTAAATCATCAGAACAGTTCAGATCTTAATAGTCCACATAACTTCTCTCACATGCTAAGAATGGTCCTTACTAGTGGAGGAGGAGGAGGAGGAGCTTGTGCCTTCATGTCAGTTACTGCAGTGTCTTGGTAGTCAGCAAACGCTGGAATATCAGACTCTTTCTCCACAATGATGCAGAGAGCTGTTCCTAATGGCACATCTCTTGTTCCTTCAGGCACCAAGATTTTTGCCAAGTAGCCTTCCTCTTGCACTTCAAAGCCTGTAAGGGAAAGAAACAAAACTGGTTTGGTGTCTGATGCAGCTGAAGAGTTCCTCTAAATGATGATTCCAAAGAATTTGGTAGCTAAAGCCCTGTCCTATATTTAGTAAGCAAGAGATTCCTTTCCAGTGTGACTGGTAGGGAAACATCTCCATGCACTGTACATTACTAAGAAGGACTGATGAAGGAATAGAAGTGTTTTTAGAAGAACCAGTGTTTGGGTCTCCAGTGGAATGAGAAGTTAACAAAACCTGTTTTAATTGTCCCACAGCTCCAGGTCCTGAGCAGCTAGGAGAACAGAAGGCACAGAGGCTACTCTGGATTCTCCCCTTTTAAGGGCACCTCATGCATTCTTGGCTTTGAAATTGACTCACCTATTGTGGCTTTATCTGTCTCAATTTCTGCCAGTAAGTCTCCCTCATTCAGTTTCTCCCCGACCTTCTTCTCCCATCTCTGCACTGTGCCCATTGTCATGGTAGGTGACAGGGCAGGGAGAGTGATCTGTGAAGACAGAGAATACAAGAGAATCAGATTCTGGTAATCCAAAAGGAACAGGAACAGAGTTTAAACTCCATGATGGCAACCTAAAGAAGTAGCCAGCCTTTAATGCACTCCTAGATACAGCTCCATTACAACAAAGCACAGTGCTGTGCTATATTGCTAATTTGTCTTCTTTTCTCAAAGCAAGTGAAAGCAGAAAGCAAGAAATCTATCAAAGTAATTATCACCACCATCACACTGGGAGTGTCTTGCAGCTGCTACCTGCAAGGCTAAAAGGAAGACTGAAGCAAGTCACTTTGTGACAAACAGGTTTGGCCCCTTTAAAAGCTATATAGACTTGTCTTCCAATAAGGACTCAAAGATGCTGTAGGTTTGCAAATCTATATTGCTGTGCAACAAACACAGCACGTATGAGAACAGCTTCAGAGCAGAACTGGACGGATAAGGCAAGCAGTGGGAAGTAAGCAAGTTTAGTAGTTATAACACAGTCAGATTAAGAAGTCTTTAATTAATTCTTTGTTCAATTACTAACTTTCCGTAACATCTCAGACAAATCAGTTCCTACATGTATCGTCTGTGGAATGAGGTTTAGTATTTCAGATTTTCTTTTTCAAAGGAATGTCACAGAAATACCTCACTACAAGTCATCAAATACAAAACCAGTGTATGTACTGTTCAATATCTAAGAAAGGTAAAAAGATTATCCACAAATACAACTCACTAGTCACTCACAAACACATCTGGTGTGTTCACCAGAGTATCACAGAACTGAGTTCTGCTCTGAGATGCAAGCAGGGCCTTCAGAGCATATTCACACTTAGCTCAAGGTCTTTTTATACCAGAACTGTCCAAATAATGCAAATGTAACAGGTTTTTCTAGACTGCCTAACAATCCTGGAGACACAAGTCTCTCCTCTACTAGCAGCTGGGATGCTAAAATAATTTTCTGAAAAAAGCTTTCTGGGACCTCCTCAAACACCTGCTTTAAGCATGCAACAATTCGAGTGGCACACAGTCCTGCAATTACAGCTAATAACTTCCCACTCCAGGTAGTATTTATGACAAAATGCCATGGCGCTAGCAATGCCAAAAACAGAAAAAGAATGCAACAAGCCTTAAAATCATCAGCAATGCTCTCTTACCTGCATATGAGGAGGATAAGAGCTGCCAGGAGCCTGAGGAGAAGGTTGGGTTGGTGGTGAGGGAGCTGCAGCTTGAGGGGGAGGCACTGAGGCTGCAGCAGGGGCAGATGCTGCAGAATCTAGAGTATAATTTTTAAAGGCATCAATATATTCAGGCCTAGAAGAAAACAAAGAACCTCAAAATTAGTCAGATGACTGTCTCTAAGCCTTTCACACAAGGCACCCAAAAAGACCCAAGAGAGAAAATTCAGCTCAGGAGTTAGTAAGATACTTACTTTTCTACTGTGATACATATTATGGCCCCAATAGGAACATCTCTTGTTCCTTCTGGCACCAGGATCTTGGCCAAGTAGCATTCTTCTAGGCTCTCAAAGCCAACTGTTGCTTTGTCTGTCTCCACCTTTGAGAGAAAGGATATCATTACAGCAATAGAAAAAAAACAGTGAGCTCAGAGCCTTCCAGTCTGATAGTAAAGTATCACAACACACAGAGTTCTGGAAAAATCACCCTGTGACACCAGCTCTAGGAAAAGTATGCTCTCAAACAGGTTAAGTGCTGCTCCTGCTCCGAAAGAGAAAAAGCAGCAACCAGCTTTGAAAGGCTGTTAGCCACGCATTCCAAACAGCATCTGTTGAGATCTGTGACCTTGAACACAAGGTCTGTGTTCAAGTGAGGGCAACCAGGGACAGAACCCAGGATGCCCATGCAGCCCATTAGAAATGTAGCACAGCCTATGCCCCCAGGATACCTCTGCTATGAGCTCCCCTTCACCGATCTTGTCACCCTCCTTCTTTTCCCAGCGTGCAATGGTGCCCATCTGCATCGTGGGGGACAGAGCTGGCAAGGCCACCTGTGAAGAATAGGGCTGTGTTACAACCCTGACAGCAGGGACCCCACACACAGGGCAAAGATGGGTCCTCAGCACAGGCTAGGACAGGAGGCCACAAAGGAGAGCCTGTCTGCAAATCCCCAGCAGGTCAGGACTGCCTCCAACCTGCTGGTAAGACCCCAGGGCAAACCAATACTAGGTGCTGTGATGGGGCTGACCAAGAAAGGGAGAAGCTATGCCAGGGGACCAAGAGAAGTACAGGGAAAAAGGACTACTAGTGAAGGAAGTGGTACCCGATGACTGTACAGGGACTTGGGGCGGGGTGGCAGCAAGGGTAAGAGAACTGCGGGAGTGGTGAGAGAATAACTGCGGTTCCCTGGGGCAAGCTGAGGTGCTCACTGAGGGGAAGCAAGACCCGAAGAGATAAACCGAACGGGCTGCCCTCCAGGCTTGGGGGTGTCGGCCGCGAGTCTACTAGTGAAGGAAGTGGTACCCGATGACTGTACAGGGACTTGGGGCGGGGTGGCAGCAAGGGTAAGAGAACTGCGGGAGTGGTGAGAGAATAACTGCGGTTCCCTGGGGCAAGCTGAGGTGCTCACTGAGGGGAAGCAAGACCCGAAGAGATAAACCGAACGGGCTGCCCTCCAGGCTTGGGGGTGTCGGCCGCGAGTCTATCCTGGGCACGAGCACCAGGGGGAATGGGGGCATCCAGACAGCCCAGGATGGGGCAGGAGGAACCCGCTCACCTTCTGATGTGCCGGCAGGCTGCAGGAGCGGCACGGGATGAGCCGGGGCCAGGCAGGGGGCAGCAGGACCCCTCCAGGCCGGTGTGTGGGGTCGCCCCACGCCGGACC